GAGGGCAGAAGCTCAACACAGGAGCTGCCCCCAGCTGGCAGGCCCCGACTGGTGGTGGTGGCAAGGGGGGGGCAGGGCTGGTGAGTGGGTGGCGCCAGGCCAGTCAAGGCAACTGATCGCCCTGCCAGTCACCCCACAGAGGGAGGCAACTGGCAGTGGTGGTGGTGGGGGGAGGGGGGGGTTGGGCTGGCAAGTGGGCGGTGCCAGTCCAGCCAAGATGGGTGCCAGTGGGGGTCCCCCAGTTGCCCCACAGATCAGCCCTGATAGCCGGCCAGGCCTAGGGACCTTACCCGTGCACAAATTTCATGCACCGGGCCTCTAGTATTGTATATATGTAAAAAAGTTTCCAAAAGATGCCCCCTGATCCCGCTGAGGCCTGCTCTTACCCTTCTGGCTCGGCTTCTCATGACTCAAGCTAGTGGCAGGCCTGCAATCCAGTTAAGCACCGAAGCGCCGCCAAACTCCGGAAAACAACCCGCTCTGGGCCGGAGGCCCTGGAGGCCGCTCTGGCCTTCTCCCAGGAAGGAGCCGCACCCGCACCCAGGTTTCTGGCCCAAGGATGATGCCAGGACCCGCCAGAAGCACAGAGAGGCCACACCAGGCAGGAGCAGCCTGTGGGAAAGGCCTGGACTCCTGCTCCCAGGCAGAGAGAGAGAGAGAGAGGGAGATATGCAGGCCAGATATGCAGGCCTCTCAAGTTTGCCTAAACTAGCCACTGCCATCTATAAAAGTGAAAAACTTCCAAAGCAGCCATACAAAAATTATTGTACCATAGGTCAGTGATGGCGAACCTATGACACGCGTGTCAGAGGTGACACGTGAACTCATTTTTTTGGTTGATTTTTCTTTGTTAAATGGCATTTAAGTATACAAAATAAATATCAAAAATATAAGTCTTTGTTTTACTATGGTTGCAAATATCAAAAAATTTCTATAGGTGACACAGCACCAGAGTTAAGTTAGGGTTTTTCAAAATGCTGACACGCCGAGCTCAAAAGGTTCGCCATCACTGCCATAGGTCTTAAATGTTTACATTAAACAAATGTATGTGTTTAAACAAACACACACACGAATAGTAACGCAGTCATAGCCATGTAGTCATGTTAGCCAGGGGATGATGGCAGGGTTCACAGCGG